TTAGAATCGGACGAAGAAGGGGACGCACAGATAATAACCGATCCCTACTGGACAGAAGGAATTGAGAAGGAGCAGGCAGACAGTGAAATAGCTGCCCTGAGAGAAAAGGTGAAGGCAGGAGAGACCACCAAGTATGCCATAATAGAGGAAAGGCTGTATTATCTCTCAGGCAGGGATGAAAGTCAAGCCCAAGTTGTATGTGCCCAAAAGTTTAAGACCAGAGATATTGGAACAGTGCCACGAGAGGTTGGGTCATATGGGAATTGATAGGACATGTGATCTAATAGGAAGAAAGTACTATTGGCCCCAAACTGCACGGGAGGTCACAAACTATGTTCGGAGCTGTGTAGTATGCCAGTCGCAGAGCAGAAGGCAGGAAATGGCACCATTGGAGGAGATGGACGTGCCGAACTTCCCCTTCGAGAAAGTGAGTATGGATGTATCAGGACCATATGGGGGAAACTGCACAAGGAAACAACTACATAGTGAGTTTTGTCGATTGGCTAACAAATTGGCCTGAGGCATTTGCAGTACCAGACAAGAAGGCTAGAACTGTGGCCGGTTTGATAATAAGTGAAATCTTCCCCAGGTATGGTGCCCCTGTGCAATTGGTAACAGATAATGGCACGGAGAATATAAACAGCATAATGAGAGAAGTGCTGACAGGTTTGAATATAGAGCACGTAAAAACATCTCCATATCACCCCCAAGGAAATGCTAAAGTGGAAAGGTTTCATAGAACCTTGGGAGATGTATTGGCCAAGCTGGTCAGAGAGAACACTGGAAATTGGGACTTGTATTTGACGCAAGCTCTGGCGGCCGTGAGGTTTACGATAAACGAAACCTCCAGATTTTCTCCTTACTTTATGTTGTTTGGCAGAGACGTGGTCCTGCCTGTGGATAACCTATTGAAGCCCCGAAGAAAGTATATGGGAGAAGATCATCATCAGCTGTTGCTGGAACAACATCATAAAATATTTGTACAGGCCAGAAGAAGAATAAAAGGGCCCAGAAGAAAAGAAATGAGAGAGTGAATGCTGAAAGAAAGGTAGTAGAATTGAAGGTTGGAGACCCTGTCTACTATAAAATCCACCAGAGAAGGAAAGCTGGACCAAAGATGGGAACCGTAGTAGAGCAGACGGGTCCAGTATCATATGTAATATGGGATCAAGTGGCAGGACGAGCAAGGAGGGTCCATGCCAATGATCTAAAGAAGGCTGAAGTAGCTAACCTGGAAATGAGCGAGCCGAGGCCTAAGAAGACAAGGACAAGGAAGGTAACTCTGGTTGAGCCGGAAGAAATGGAGACGGAGGAAGATTCCGAGGAAAATGAGGAGATAGATCGACTCGGCCAGATAGACGAAACGATCCAAATGACAGAGTTGGAACCCTCGGAGGGGATCAGCGGCGTTCAGTCGTCGACTGATCGGTGCAGAGAAGACACTGTGAGGTCGCCATCGCACCCCCATGTCCAAAGGAAAGGAAGAGAAAGACGAGGAGATCCAATCAAGCAATCAAGGGCTCTATAAAGAGGCACCCTGAACAGGACGAAGGGCCCAGCGAGTGGGAGGAAGAGGATCGAATACCCCTTTCCCAGCTCAAGGAAAAGCTAAGAAACAGGAGAGATCTAGACATAGAGTCAAGAGGTATTAAAGACGTCCAGGGCGAGGACTCTAAACAGAAGGAAGAATCAGGGGATGAAGAAGAGGACAAAACACTTCCTGGACGGGAATTAAACACAGAGGGAAGGTTAGAGGTTGAGCAGGGACTACCTCGGAAGATGAGATTAAGAAGGGTGAAGAACTCCAAATCTCAGTAGAACAAAGAAGGCTGTACAGAATAGAAGCATTCGGTGTCGACAGATAATGACACTGGCTCATCCAAAAACCTGCTGGCTGACTGCGGTGGATGTGGATGGAGGGGATGGAGTCGCGAGCTGCACCTCACGAAGGAAAGAAGAAGATTATTGGCATTGCTGACTGGCCATCAGTGGTGTCATGAAGTACGACCTTTGGAATGAGCGCCACGCACACCTGACCGGACCATTCTGTCTGCTAGGGGTTAGTTAGAGGAGGGAAGAGCTGAACTTAGTAAGAAATTATGGAATAATTGAGTAAAGAATTGTGGAAATATTATAATGCACTGGGATGTGTGACCTTGTTGGAAAATAGATGACTATTGGTTGTGATATCTGTTCCGTTGTTAGATAGAGAGAGTATATCCGAGATATACCAGGTTATAAATTTACCCATTCCCTACCCCAGAAGAGATCAAGGTTTGGGAATGATAGCAAGGTACAAGGTGGAAACAGAATACATAGCTGGTAACCGCAAAATGTGCATACTATAATTGTTTGAAGGGAAGAGAGAGGGAACTAAGAGAACTTGCCAAGTGGAGGTATTAGCAAACACGGCATTACCACAAGCTATCAGTGTTTCAGACGGGGTGTGGGCAGTGGCCACACAGAAACCTATCAGCTTGTCTAGGGTATGTGGGGGAGAGTCCACAAGGACATTAAGAGTAAGGCCACCATTATCCCTGTTAAACTTACCCATGGGATGTTCGGTGTTTGGGATATCTATTTCCTTACCCCCCTATTACCAGGAAGAAGAAAGATATGAAGAGAAAGATTCAATCATAGAAATGATTGGCAGAGGCTTAGTCAATTGTACAGAATTGTGGGAGCCAATAGTGAAGGATTCTCCAATGTTACCTTGAATAAAATGCCAGTACTAATGAAGCCGATAGAAAAGATCGATATGGATCAATTGAGGGACAAGTTAAGTGCGTTGGGAAATGAAGGTATGGCTTGGGAAGACGATGAGCAGATCGCGATAAGTTGGTCGGTAGTGATGGGTGCATTCATAGTTATAGCCATCGGGGGTATAGTAATATGGAAGATTAAGAGTAAGAGGAGATTAACGAACGATAATCAAATGAGCATGCAGCAGCTCGAGAGGGAGATGCCGAGCAGTGTTCCTTACTCATACAGAATCGGCGAAGAGATTGCAGGAAGACCGGCGGAGGAGGCTGGCGTAAGACCGCCACGTGCGTCGGAAAAACCTCCCACAGCGGAGAGGAAAACATTGACCAAGAAGAACAAGCCATAGTAAACACATCTGCCCCCACGGGCACACGCACACATTACATATAGAATAGAAGAACTTGAAAAAGAACGTTACATTGCATGTAGAACAGAAGAACTTGAAAAAGAACATTACACTTGCATGTAGAACAGAAGAAGATGAAAAAGAACTTTACATTGCAAGTAGAACAGAAGAAGATGAAAAGAACATTACATTGCATGTAGAAAAGTAGTATAGAATTGCATGGGACAGATGCATGATGCATACTAAATAGTGTATTTGGGTTTAGGTGTCATTTACGAGTAAATGACAAATCGGTTAGGGGAGGATTGTGGCACCATTTACAAGGCAAAAAGAAAAGAATGGAAAGAGAGGAATGAAAGAAAGGAAAAGAGAGGCGAGACCCAAACGTGGATGATAAGTAGGACACCCACGACTAAGAGACAATGGATAAAGGATATTTTGATAAGTAGCAAATGGCAAAAACTGTCATTACAATGGCAGAAAAATTCTAAGTGGATAAAGGAATCGTTGTGTTCTGGCGACGAGCTGTGTTATCGGGGATACATAAACAAACCGCTAATGCGGGAAAACATCTGATTAAGCAAACCACAGACCGACTAGCCAAAGAAAAATCCAATTGAAAATGTTATTTTGATAATTGACAGGTGAACTACAGGGCTTTGGATAGATATGAAAAATTAATTGTGTCAAAGCCGCACACGAGGTGGCGACTGACCGTTTTTCTTTTGACAAGACATCTTTAGCTGCGATAATAAAACTATGTTATCAGAAATGTGCACCAAAGAATGAATGGAACCATGGAAATGTTTTTTTTTCGAGGCGACGGACGATTGTGTTGTGTCAAATAAACCAGCCATTCTGATAATTAGCGATAATCTGACTGACGAAGTCCAGGTGGGAACAAGAGTTATGACCACCACCGATCGCATTGTTCTATTTGCGGCCAGAGAAAATGAGAACTGCGATTAAAATAAAGAAAAGGAAAAGAAAAAGATAATTTTTTTTTAAGCAAAGATATTTTTTTCCCTGAAACAAAACCGGCTGGACATCATTGGCCGAGTGGTGATCACGTGACGCAAGGAGGAAGCTGTCACCGCACATTTAGAGGATGGGCATGAGAGTTCGCCACGAGGAAGTGGGGAGGACAGCCGACACCCCCATGAAGCATGGTGAGAAGGTGGGAGTAAGAGAAGACTCCCAAAAAAATGGAAAGAAGTGGAAAATTCCTAACCAAAAATAAAAGAAGTGGATAGGTATTTAGCATTATCGAGGAACCCCCCGGCGCCGACAAAATCACCCCGGTTTTTGTCGGCGTCCATATAAGCGAAGTCGCAGCGAGAGAAAATCAGTTCCAGCAGAGAGTTCCAGCAGAGAGTTCCAGTTGAGTTCGGGAGATACAGTTCCCAGAGTCAGTCTCCAGTGCTCAGTTGAAGCAAGCCTCGCATCGGCTGACCAAGATTTGCGCAATTTCCGGACTCATCTTCAATTCAAGAACAATTATTTTGAAGAGCGACTTAGATCCAAACCACCAAAATAAGTTTTTTTTCGACTTTCGCCCGGAGACACACCAAAAAAAAAAAAAAAAAAAAACCCAATTTCTTAAAGAGCAAACAACTTGAAGTGTTAAAACTCGCCTAACGGAAAACAACGTGTCACAATCCATAAAACGGGTCGGGAGATAGACGCAGTCCTATGTATCCAACAACTAGACATGAAGTTTGTTATCCTTTTCTTTGATACCTTGAACTTTTGAGTTATCATTTTATTTCTTTTATACGTATTTGTGCGATACCACCCCCGCTTGGACCCAACTTGCATTCCAGCCCCAACGACTGATTGATCTCGTCTGTCTAAGATCAATTCACAACGTGGGTAGGCAGACTGGAGATCAATGCAGTTACCTTGGTAACCAGGCGTTGGAAGCGAGTTGGGAACGACGAGGCTGATATCAAATCTAACCAGATTCCCACCCGAATCACCAAAAGGTTAGAACGTCACATTTGGGTGCCGCGACCGATACCAAGCCAGTTGGTCGTCAGAGGACGAGACAACACGACTGACGCGACAGGCGGACGTCACGTTTGGAGCAGCGACACCCGGACGAAGCAGCGAGGAGTGAACAGCTGTGTGACGGTTACACACCTGGCCCAGGGTCGAATCCCTTGGTTACGGCGCCAACTGTGACGTCGCTCCTCCCTGGTCGCTCCTCCTGGTTCCAAGCGTGCCGCTCCAACCCCTTGGTTGGATGATCACCAACCTCGCCTTTCCCAACTCGCTTCCAATACCTGGTTACTGAAGCAACTGTACTGATCTCCGGTCTGTCTACCCACGTTGTGTTTAGATCTTAGACAGACGGGACCAGCAGGGATTGGGGCCGATACAAGTTGAGTCCGACGGGGTGGCAAAACACAAGTAAAAAAGAAAAAAAAAAAAACTCACGAGACAAAAAGATTGCTGATGAAAAAAAGGGTAACAACCTTTTATATCTTAATGTCCGTTACATAAAAACAAAATTGTTCTCAATTCCCGACCCGCTCTGTGGACTATGGCACAAGCTTCCATCACACAACCTAAAAGATTTCGAATTGCCTACTCTTTAGAATTGTGTATGTCGGAGTGTGGTTTGGTTCGACACTGGGGCTAATTTCTATCGATCATTCGCAGTTGATTCTTCTCTTCGACTTGAGTTGTATTTCTTCTTCTTCGTCGACTTAGGATGGAAGTTCTTTTGTCTTCGACTTGGGCTGGAAGGATCTCTTGCCGCAACTCAGCCGCAACTCTCTGTCGTCCGAGGTGATCTCTTCTCGCTGCCGTCCGGGGCTTGAACTCTTCTGTCTTCGACTTGGGCTGGAAGGATTTCTTGTTTTCGACTTGGGCTGGAAGGATTTCTTGTCTGAGGATTCTTTTTGCCCGCAAAGGGGCGAGTGAATCGGGCCTGATGGCCGCGTTCAGGCTCTATCCCTGCCCGCGGTCCAGCTGCAACTCTCAACTCCAACTGATTTCTGTCGACTGGGGTCCTGCTTTTATTGACGCCGCAACAAACTGGGGTGGGTCTGTCGGCGTCAGGGTTTTCTCGATAATTCAAAAGTCGCATTATTTTGATTTCTCATTATCGCTATTGTTTAAAATCCCCTACTTCCTCACAGTGCCTTTGGTGGGGGGAGGCACGTATGTCAGGTGACCGCTTTCGACCAATGGTTCCTGATCAGGGATTTCTTTCTCTTCTTTTTCTGCAGATCACGTGACCGTTTCCGACCAATTGTTATTGATCGAGCATCCTTTCTCCTCCTTTCGGGCGTGGTTACATCGTTCTTGTTTTTAAAAAAAACAAAATCTAAGTTGGCCTTTTTCGCACGTACGAAAAATGATAATCTTGGCTTTCTCTCACCTGGGCTCTGTCAAACAGCCCGCCGCTAATTAGTTGTGACTTCAGGAAAGAATATTGTCGCCATCTGTGATCTGAGACAATCGTTTTTTTTCACCTCTTGTTTTTTGTCAGACCCGGCAGTCAGAAAATCTTAATTTATCTGAATTGAAAACATCTTTCACTCGTCAATGTGGGGTTCTAATTTTTTAACAGGTCAGAATCTGTATACCGTTCCACCGGTCACTCCCCTCAACCCAAAAGACACTTTTTCTCTGATTAAGATTTCGTTTTCATTGTTCCCAAAATTTCTCTTTATCCAAATTGATAAGATGTCTTTCTACGCAAAAGTAGGCTAGATGCTTTGACCGATATCTGGTTTTCATCAAGCGGCCCGTTTTGATATCATGTCTTTTCCCTTTCTTTCTTTTTATTATTTCTAATTCTATTCTTCCAATTGTCTTTAAAAAATTCGGTCAACATGCTAGCTAAGATATCTTTCTGACTCGTGTTTTTGTTAATGACCGCTTTTTGTATTTCTCGACCTCTCTCTTTTGCTTTCTCTCTTTTCCTCTCTTTCCCCTTCCTTCTTCTTTCCTTAGGATCGTCTAAGTACAATCTTAGTGAATTATTTTCAACTCAATTATTTTCCGTTTTAAAAAAATCAACAACCTGTTTAGTAAACCGAGTAAAAAAAATTAAATCATATTTCTATGAATATTTCTAATAATGCAAGGTGCCACAAATCTCCCCTAACCGATTTGTCATTTACCCGTAAATGACACCTAAACCCAATTACATCATTTAACATGCACCATGCATTTGTGTCATGCAATTCTATTCTACTTTCTAACATGCAAGGGTAATGTTCTTTCCATTTTCTTTTGTTCTACATGCAATGAAATGTTCTTTTCATTTTCTTTTGTTCTACATTCAATGAAATGTTCTTTTCATTTTCTTTTGTTCTACAGGCAATGTAATGTTCTTTTCATTTTCTTCTGTTCTACATGCAATGAAATGTTCTTTTCATTTTCTTCTGTTCTACATGCAATGAAATGTTCTTTTCATTTTCTTCTGTTCTACATGCAATGAAATGTTCTTTTCATTTTCTTCTGTTCTACATGCAATGAAATGTTCTTTTCATTTTCTTTTGTTCTACATGCAATGAAATGTTCTTTTCATTTTCTTTTGTTTTACATGCAAGGTAATGTTCTTTTTATTTTCTTCTGTTCTACATGAAATGAAATGTTCTTTTCATTTTCTTCTGTTCTACATGCAATGAAATGTTCTTTTCATTTTCTTCTGTTCTACATGCAATGAAATGTTCTTTTCATTTTCTTTTGTTCTACATGCAAGGTAATGTGTGCGTGTGTTTGTAGGTGCAGATGTGTTCACTAGGGTTTTTTCTTCTTGGTCAATGTTTTCCTCTCTGCCGTGGGAGGTTTTTCCGCCGCACGTGGTGGTCTCACGCCAGCCTCCTCCATTGGTCTTTCAGCAATTTCTTCGCCAGTCCTGTCTGAGCAAGGAACACTGCTCGGCATCTCCCTCTCGAGTTGCTGCATGCTCACTAGACTGTCGTTCGCTAATCTTCTCTTACTCTTAATCTTCCATATTATTACACCCCCGATGGCTATAACTAGGAATGTACCCATTACTATTGACCAACTTATCGCGATCTGCTCATCGTCTTCCCAAGCTACACCTTCGTCTCCCAACGCACTTAACTTATCCCTTAAGTGATCCATATCGATCTTTTCTATTGGCTTCATTAATACTGGCATCTTATTTAAGGTGACATTAGAGAATCTCTTCACTATCGGCTCCCATAATTCTGTACAATTGACTAAGCCTCTACCAATCATCTCTATGAGTGAATCTTTTTCTTCATACCTTTCTTCCATCTGGTAATAGGGGGCAAGGAGATGGACACCCCAACCGCCGAACATCCCATGGGTAGCGTCACCAGGGATAACGGTGGCCTTATTCTTAATGTCCTTGTGGACTCTCCCCACATACCCTAGACAGGCTGATATGTTTCTGTGTGGCTACTGCCCACACCCCCGTCTGAAACACTGATAGCTTGTGGTAATGCCGAGTTTGTTAATACCTCTACTTGGCAGATTCTTTTGATTCCTTCCCCTTCCCTTCAAACAATTCTAATATGCACATTCTGCGGTTACCAGTTTTATAGATAGGGCTCAACGAGGTACAAGTCCCCAGGGTATCATCTCTACACCTTCTAGCTTCTTCAGCTGGTAGCAACATAAATTTCGTTCTCCCTGAATTTAATGCTATGTAGTCTGCTTCCACCTTGTACCTTGCTATCATTCCTGAAAGGTAACAAATTCTCTTGTTGTTATTCTTCACAATCACTTAGTCTCGCTCGACTCATCACTCAATCATTTCATAACTTTTCTCTTAGTTCGGCTCTTCCCTCCTCTAACTACCCCCTAGCAGACAGAATGGTCTGGTCAGGTGTGCGTGGCGCCCACTCTAAAGGTCGTACTTCATGACACCACTGGTGGCCAATCAATAATGCCAATGATCTTCTTCCGTCCCCTGTGAGGTGCAGCCCGCGACTCCATCCCTCTACTCACATCTACCATAGTCAGCCAATAGGATTTTGGATGAGCCAGTGTCGTTATCTGTCGACACTAAATGCTTCTATTCTGCACAGCCCTTTTGTTCTACTGAGATTTGGGGTTCTTCTCCCTCCCTGATCTCATCTTCCGAGGTGATTCCTGCTCAACCTCTAACCTTCTTTCTGTGTTTAACTCCCGTCCAGAAGGTTTTTTGTCCTCTTCTTCATCCTCTGATTCTTCTTTCTGTTTAGAGTCTTCGCCTTGAATGTCTTCAATACCTCTCGACTCTATGTCTAAACTTCTCCTGTTCCTTATCCTTTCCTTAAGCTGGGAAAGGGGTATTCGATCCTCCTCCTTCCACTCGCTGGGTCCTTCGTCCTGTTCAGGGTGTCTCTTTTTAGAGCCTTCGACTGCTTGATTGTACCTCTTCGTCTTTTTCTTCCTTTTCTTCGGACATGGGGGTGTGATGGCGATCTCACGGGGTCTTCTCTGCACTGACTCAGTCGACGACTGAACATCGCTAATCCCGCTGAGGGTTCCAACTCTGTCACTCGGACTGCTTCGTTTATCTGGTCAAGTCGACCTATCTCCTCATCTTCTTCGGAGTCTTCCTCCGTCTCCATTCCTTCCGGTTCAACCAGAGTTACCTTCCTTTTCCTTGTCTTCTTAGGGCCTCGGCTCGCTCATTTCCAGGTTAGCTATTTCAGCCTTCTTCAGATCATTGGCATGAACCCTCCTCGCTCGTCCTGCCACTTGATCCCATATTACATATGATACTGGGCCTGTCTGCTCTACTATCCGGTAGTACGGTTCCCATCTCTGGTCCAGTTTTCCTTCTCTCTGGTGGATTTTATAGTAGACAGGGTCTCCAACCTTCAATTCTACCACCTTTCTTTCAGCATTCACCCTCTCATTTCTTTTCTTCTGGGCCCTCTTTATTCTTCTTCTGGCCTGTACGAATATCTTATGTTGCTGTTCCAGCAATAGTTGATGATGATCTTCTCCCATATACCTTCTTCGGGGCTTCAGTAGGTTATCTACAGGCAGGACCACGTCTCTGCCAAACAACAAAAAATAAGGAGAAAATCTGGAGGTTTCGTTTATCGTAAACCTCACGGCCGCCAGAGCCTGCGTCAAATACAAGTCCCAATTTCCAATGTTTTCTCTGACCAACTTGGCTAATACATCTCCCAAGGTTCTATGAAACCTTTCCACTTTAGCATTTCCCTGGGGTGATATGGGGATGTTTTTTATGTGCTCTACATTCAAACCTGTCAAAACTTTCTCTCATGATGCTGTTCACATTCTCCGTGCCATTATCTGTTACCAATTGCACAGGGGCACCATACCCTAGGGAAGATTTCACTTATTATCAACCCGGCCACAGGTCTGGCCTTCTTGTCTGGTACTGCAAATGCTTCAGGCCAATTTGTTAGCCAATCGACAAAACTCACTATATAGTTGTTTCCTTGTGCAGTTTCCCCATATGGTCCTGATACATCCATACTCACCTTCTCGAAGGGGAAGTTTGGTACGTCTGTTACCTCCAAGGGTGCCATTTCCTGCCTTCTGCTCTGCGACTGGCACACTACACAACTTCGAACATAGTTAGTGACTTCTCCGTACAGTTTGGGCCAATAGTACTTTCTTCCTATGAGATCACATGTCCTATCAATTCCCATGTGACCTAACCTTTCGTGGCACTGTTCCAATATCTCTGGTCTTAAACTTTTGGGCACATACAACTTGGGTTTGACTTCTTCATCCCTTCCTGAGAGATAATACAGCCTTTCCTCTATTATGGCATACTTGGTGGTCTCTCCTGCCTTTACCTTCTCTCTCAGAGCAGCTATTTCACTGTCTGCTTGCTCCTTTTCAATTCCTTCTGTTTGCTCTACTAGCTTCCTTCGTTCTTCCTCGAATCTCACCCGATTCAGAGTTCGTGGGGAAGTGCTCTTCCTATCTCCTCCCCTCTCCTAACCTTTTATAGTCTTTTGAGCTTGGTTCACCATCATAATGGGCACCAACTCGGCTGCCTCCACTACCGTTTCGCACAGGGTTACCTCTCGCTATCTTCTAGGCTCTTTTCCTTCTACAGGGACCAACTTCAGAGGTCCTCTCCGTACCTTTTTTTTTCTGACATTAGCCTACCCTTTCCCGACACTGCGGTCCTAGGAGGTAACTTTACATCTTCCTCCACCACTATGGTTATCTCTTCCTCTGGTGGGTATCCCAATGGCGTTCTCTCGCCGTTCACCACCAACACAGTAGGATTAAACTCGATCTGGGCCCTCTGGCTCCGGAGCCAATCTTTCCCAAGATTGCCTCCGTACACAGGTCGGGGGTTACGTAAAAATTTTGGGTGCTTTTCACCCTCCCAATCCTCACCGGGAGCCTCACCATCCCTTTTATCTCCAGGGGGGCCCCATCTGCTTGCGTGATCTCTATGTCCGCTTCCTGTAACCTTCTCTTCCGTTTCACCCGCCTGTATGTCTCCTCTCTCATCAATGACACAGATGCTCCTGTGTCCACCAAAGCCCTCATCTCTCTACCACCTATCTCTGCTCTACAGGAGAGTTCTCTCTCTTGCGTTAGCGAAGAGAACACCTGAGCTTTTCTTCTTCCTGGGTCCCCACCTTTGGGTTAACCCAGCCATAGGCGCCGGTAGTAATAAATCACCTTCATTTGTTTTTGAGGTGGAGTTCTGCGCCCCCTGCACCTGGGCGACCCCGGCCGGACCTCTCCCGGTCTCCCATGGCCGTTTCTAGGAATACAGTTTCTTTTCAGGTGTCCTGGCCTCCTGCAAAACCAGCACCTTCTTGCTGGACAGCTTGCCGCAAAGTGGCCCGCCCGACCACATGTCCAACATTTTGCTCTTTCCATTTTTAACTGGGTTGGCCTTGTGTCTATCCTCGGGGAACCTGTCCTCTATTCAAGCGGTTCGCCCACGCACTGGTCCAATTTTTTATTTCTCTCCTTTTTAACTGGGCCACCCTCCCTCTTAATTCTGGGGTGGCCCGCTGGCTTTTC